ACCCGGGGCCTTGGTCTTACCCACCCCCCACTCTCCCGAGCGAGCCCCGGGCCGGCCCATAAACCACTTGCCCTTTGAAGGGTAATTTCTTTCAGAGATTTCTTTCCTGACAGTTGTGAGGTACTTTTTTTTTTTTTTTTCAGGTGTCAGTTTTCTCTTTCAGATGTCATTAAGACTTTCTTTCTAAATTCAGCTCCAAGGTCTTGCAGTATACTTTTTGGCAGAGCAAAGTGCTAAACTACTTGATAAATAACTCATTTGGGGACCTTGAAGTTAACTGGTTTGGATTGATGTTTAGTATTTCTGAGATACTGTAAGTAATACTTGCAAATAACATACAACCATCCTGGATATGTAGAAAACATAGGTAGGGGAGGAATGATGCCAGTTCTCTTTGAACTGACACTGCTGCTATTTTTCAGCCATATTCTCTTCCACTCTAAGGCATTCTCCTTTACCTTTGGTCCGTTTTTCCCCTGCTGTTCATTGCTTAGGGTCAGAGCAGTCTGATAGTAGCGGTGCTTATAAAAATGCACCTTCAGTTTTGTCTTCTGCCTCTTGAGCAGACCCTGTCAGTGACATGTAAATGTATCCCATGAGTGACGCTATGATTTCTTCTCCTGACAGGTCCCAGAGTGGTGCTTAGATGACTGGCATCCTTCTGAGAAGGCAATGTATCCTGATTACTTTGCCAAGAGAGAACAGTGGAAAAAACTGCGGAGAGAAAGCTGGGAGCGAGAGGTGTGTCTTACTGCACTTGGCCATAGAGTTTGGCCCACATGAGCAGCACACGGATGGGGTCAGGTTTTGCTCCCCGCATGCAGAAGTCCAGATTCTACCCTGACAGTTACTCTAGCCCCTTGCTTCTAAGATATGCTGGAGTTTCTCAGTATGTTCAATTTAATGTTTACAGCCATCTAACAAATAGATTAAAATGCATTCCCTGGTCTTTTTGGCTTTTCCCCTCTCTAATTTTGCTTCCACCCTCCTTCTCTTTAGTCCTTTACCTGACCTTTTTGCTGTACTCTGCTATCCCTTAACTTTCCTCTTCACTAGAGCCTTAGCCATTTTTTAGTCATGTTATGATGGAGTTACATTTTTAAAAGCTCTTGCTGTAGTGTGAAGAATACATTGGAGCAGGCAAGAGGCAAAGTAGAGAAACCAGTATGAGATTATTGCAGTAGTTTAGTCAAAAGGTTATGTTGACCAGCACTAGAGTGAATGCAGTGGATATGGAATATCTTTTGGAGGGATATGAAAATTGATTGGATGTAGGGGATGGGTCAGGGACAGGGAGGAATCAAGAATGGTTTCCAAGTTTTAAGCTTTAACATCTGGAGTTTGGTGGTATTGTTTATTGAGATAGGAAATATGGGGGGGGGGGTAGGCACGGGAATCAGGTATCAGTGTGAAGTTAGAGAATCCTGTGAGACAGCAAGTGCAAATGTCAGCAAGCAACTTTAGATGTAGAAATCTGGAACTCCAAGGAGATATTTGTCCTAGAAATAGAAACTTTAGAGTTTTCAGTTTTAAAAGCCATGGAGATGCATGAGATCCTTATCAGAGAGTATAGAGGAGAAAGGATTCTTTCTCCATTATAATTGGGTATAAAAGATATATGTCAATACATTTGGTTAGAAGTTTTGAAGATGACAAACTGCCGTGTGATAGCTTCTGTTTTTTAGTGAAATAAGAAGAAAAGTTTGGAGAATGTGGAAAAGGTTTGATAGTCATGGGGAGAAGAAGAGCTTGCTGGAAAATAGTAGGATTGCCAGGTGGTGGTGAAGTTCTATATGAAATTGGGAATAATTAATGTGTTAGGACACTAATTCTAGTATTTCTTTTTCTCTTTAGCAACATTAACTGTATGGGTACAGGCTTGAACATACAGTTGTGTTTGTCCATTGTCCAGAGGGAGTGACAATGGAGTTGAGGTTATTCAAAAGGGAATGATTGTCATGATGGAATCTAAGCTGGATAAAGAAAGGGAGACAGGGTAGGTTGATGCAGAGGGAAAAGGTCAAGTTGGGTAGGAGGATCTGTGAATTAATAGTCTCTATGAGTCTCAAGGGGGCATTTAAACAAATGAGCTGGAGCCGGGGGCACGGTTTGTTGGATAGTGGGGTGTTTGAATTCGTAAGTTTGGGAGTTGTGCACCGTCTGGTGATAAGGTCCAGGATGTTGACCACTGGAAGTCCTTGGCCAAGGTGGAGTGGAATGTAGGTCACTGTGGCTAAGGAGGGCAGTGTTTTGTAAGAAATGTCTTAATATCTGGAAGCCTGAAGTATATTTATTCATGGAGAGCAACAGGTTTGTTCTGCAGTTGATCACTATGATAACTTCTTCTCAAAAGCTCTCCTCTACTTGTCCCATCTTTTCAAATGGGGGTAGTGGGGCAACGTCTGACAACCAAGCATATTTTTACATGTGACTGCATGTTATCTCTTGTCCTGGTTGCTGTTTGGAGGGCCTATGAAACCTCATAATGCTTTTGGAGAACACTTAGCTGTGATGCAAAAATAAATGTTTTTTCTGGGAGGGTCAGGTGGGAGACCATGACAAGAGAAATTGGAATGGTAATTGTCATGTTTTTACTTAAAGACCTAGAGCAGGGGTAGGAGGGTTTGTTTTCAGCTTTGTTGTTTTAAGAATGGGCAGGCCCTTTGTTCTTTCCTTGCTCCCTTCTAGGTTAAGCAGCTACAAGAGGAAACCCCACCTGGTGGTCCTATGACTGAAGCTTTGCCCCCTGCCCGAAAGGAAGGTGATTTGCCCCCACTGTGGTGGCATATTGTGACCAGACCCCGGGAGCAGCCCATGTAGAGAGAGAGAGACACCTCATTGTTCATTTTTGCAAGTGAAATCCGTGAAATGCACTTGCCCTAATAAAAATAACTAAACATGGTCTGACTGATGTGTTCTTCTGAAGATTACCCTGATGCCAAGTGACTGTGCCACTGTTAATTGTTTTCTTATCAGATGTGTTCTCTTCTTCCTCATTAAATCATATTGATAGCACATGTTACCAGTAAGGGAAAACTTTGCAACAGAACCAGATTCAAGATTTACTCTGAAGATTGAGTTTAACAAACTAAGTTGAAGGCTTAACTAGCTCTAGTGACTGGAAGGAAATCCACAAAGCCAAGAAGAGAAATACTGAGAACTTAAAATGCCTTTTTGATTTTCTAAAGATTCCACTAATTATATTTTAGTTTTTATTCAAAGGACAACTATCCCTGAGAAGCACACAGTCAATAAGCATAGTTTATGGAGTTCTCTCAGGGGTGGAAGTTTGACGGTTGTGGTTAAAGGATCCAATATAGGAAGAAACTTTTTGTGACACTTATTTTGGAGGCAGTTTTCCAGCTTTGCTCAGACTCAATGGTAAGGTGTACAGCAGAACTCTCTAAATGTTCCAAGAATCTTTTTTTAAAAGGTAGAGCAATTTTTAAAACTCAATGTAAAACAGCTGCTTTTAGTTCTTGATAACTCATTGGAACTGTGTTCAAATAATTAGTTCAGCCAAGTGTGGCCTTAGGGCTCATAACCATCACAAAAATATCTTGCCAGTTTTCCAAGTAAGCTCAATTTGAGTCTCAGTCTCTCGTTCCTTTGACTAAGACCTCAAACTGAATTTTTTTTTTCCTTTTTGTCTTTTTTACTGACCGGTAACGGGATCACAACCCTCGGTGTCATGCCTGTACCGGGGACCGGCAACGGATTGCAACCCTCGGTGTTGCGCCCGCACCGTGCTCAGCCAGTGAGCGGGAACCGGTCTCTACATGGGATCTGAACCCTCAGTGGGAGCGCTGCCGCGCTCCCAAGCGGCGCACTCTCCAGTGCGCCACCAGGCCGGCCCTCAAACTGAATTTTAATAAGACTTGAAATGCAGGACTTTTTTCTTTTTTCTAGTGGTTCTTTATTTATAAGGTAGGCTGAAGCAATTGTTACAATGTAGAAGGGAGACACATTACACAATTGTTATTTATACAAGTTTAAAACAAAAAACTGCACAGGGAGAGGTCAACTCTCAGTACAAACTAGCAACTAAACCACAATAATTTACCTTTAGAAACGATTTCTTTATTTTTAGCTGTGACACTGCTTTTACAATATGCAAAAACACAAACAGAACTACCCAAGGTGTTTTGTCACATTCTTGCTACATTGAATTTGGCAACATTTTATCTTCATTCAGATTATACTAACGTTTAAAAACTAAACAAGTGAAAAGCTGTACGAGGTACAGTTACATCCATTTATTTCAAAGGTTTAAAATGCCACTTCTATCTACTGTAATTACCTTGCAGTGATTTCTGCTTTTGCAAAAACCATCTCAAGCATCATATGCACAATGCATCAGCTACTTTTAGTCATCAAGATTGGTGGGCTAAACCACAGGCACTACTGTTGCTTATATTCTGTAAATGGAGCTTGTTTTTCAAAGAAAAAAGCTTAAATAGTTTGTAATAATCATGCTGTTGTTTTAAAGCCACAACAAAAATGTCCTTGAGCAATCACAGCAGTGTTAAATGTTAATATATAGAACAATGACTATACAGGTAAATTACTGTCACATCCAATGCGATTATGTATTAAAGCGTAGGATTATGTAATTGAAGATTACAGCCAACAGAAATCTGCAGGGTGTGCGGGACCACCAGGTTCCTCTTATTTGAGGTATTGTCACAAATGTGCACTGTCAACTGACCTGTTAAGGGGTTTGCTTTTTTTTTTTTTTTTTTTTTTTATAAGTATTATTTTCTCCAAATGTGATCCCTTTAAACCTACAAATCTGTTGGCTGTAGGGGATGGGTAATATAACAAATTTAACTTTCACTTAAGAAAACACAAATCCGTTCCAAAAAACATTACCAAGAATACAAAAAGAGGGACACTATAGTGGTCAGATTCCCTGTGACAATAAATAAATCCTTCTCTCTTCAATGTTTAGTATGAAGCCAATTAACTGCCATTTATTTAAAAGAAGAAAAACAAGCCCCCATATTGGTAAACACATTGGCACATTGCAAGACTCCAAGCTGGTTACCCATGTTAAATCCGCTTGAGTTTTTTCAAAATATTTGGGCTTTTCAATGCACCCAGCCTGCTGGGCACAGTTAAGTAAAAGGCATTTGCTATTTCTAAGAACTCCCTGCTTTAATTTTTAAATGTCTTCACATTTTAAAACTGCCTTACCCTTTTGGATGTATTTGGATATAATGAAAGTGAGTACAATAGACGAGAAACAAAAGTGGGGGATTCTATGTCTACCCAGTGGCAGCAGCATGCACGGGATTGGAGGTGGATGCTGTGTGGTCAAGAGGAATGGCAGAGGAGAAAGGAAGTCCTTAAACACCCTACGGAAATAAACACTGCAATCCAGTATGGCTTATTCGGATGCATTTACCATGAAGCTACTAGAAATTCAACCTACGAGGCTACTCTTAAATGTTAACAGGAACGGCTATGTTGACAGTGTGCCCCTCCCACGACCCTCCCCCCAGTCCCAACACAGTCTACCATTTCCAGATTTACTTCACTCTGAATATTGCTCAACTGTTACTCCTGCTTTTTTTCATTCAGAACATAGTATATTTAAATGAGGATTTTACCTCTTATCCATTTTGTTTGTACATTAAAATAACTTGAATTTGCTTCTAAGCTAGACTGCTACAATGCATCTACAAAAGCATGTGGGAAAAAAGAAAAGAAAGCTAAGTATAGTAATCCTTTTTCTGAAATTAACTACTTCATGGTTCCCCTGTCCCAACCCCACCCCCCTTATGCATTTAAAATTTTACAAAGACTTGTAGAAAAGTTAAATGGAATTTGGCACCTTCAGAAAAATCAAAAGGGAAACTAAGATTAAAATGTGCAGAAAGAAAATTGTCAATATTTACAAATTAAAAGATCAAGATTATGTCAGTTACATATGTTGCTTTTAATTCTTATCTAGAGGTGTGGAGTACTTTCAAAAGCTGTATTCTGAGTTGCCTACAAAATCTTGTGTTTGAGTATAGATTGGAATGGATCAAGACAAATTAGGTTTTATTAATTAAACAGTTCATTCCCCACTGGCAGCATTTCTTGTGAGCCTAAGAAAGCCTAAGACAAGCGAGGGGCTGAGCGATCATTCGTCATGGTCTTCTTCAGTTTCACGCCCCTTCGGATGGCGTTCAGCATGTCTTCTCCTTGGGGAGTATCTCTTGGGCTCAGGTCTGCAGGGTCGCTCTCTGGAATCTGGCCTGGGGAGACAGTGGCACTTGGGGGATCCCTTTCCTGGTCTTCAGCCTCACTTTCTGGAATCGCTTGTCTGTGCTCCTCTGGGATACTGGGCTTCGGGCCTGGAAGTGGAGGGTTGACAGAGGCTTGGCCACTCCACATTGAGGAGGGCATGTTGGTAACACCCTGGGGGCCCTCGCCCACAGATGGTGACTCTGGGCTGTGCTCACCCCGCTCCTCTGGCCCATCTGGAGGGACTGGCAACACCCCAGGGAGGTCTGGGACGGTTGGGGTCTTGACAGGGATCACAGGTGTCTTGATGGGGATGGGACCAGCTCCGATGGTCCCCCGGCGGACAGAAGGCTTGGTGGAAGGGGTCCGACGGATGGTTGCAACCCCTGGAGTGACCATAGCAGGTCCGAGGGTGGTGGGGAGGCCAGCAGTCGAGGCTGGGCGCTTGGCTTGGAACATTCGTCGGTAGGACTGGCTGATGTCACTGTTTCTTGGAATGGTGGAGGATTTGTCGAAGTCCTGCTGATCTGCCTCCTGGTCACCACTTACAGAGAAATAATCATAATCTGAAACTGATGATAGGACTTGATTAGACACATCCAAGACAGCAGCTTCGCTTTTTGTCTGTGTTGGGAGGACAAAGGACACAATCCCATTGCAAGCCTCCCCCAGGTTTCTGTGACCCTTAGCAAGGCTCACCAACTAAGAGCTCCCTGGCAGGGAGCCTTCACTGACACACCCCGAGCACCTAGAGCAGTGCTAGACATGGCAGGCACGTAAATACCATCAAGTGGTAAAAAACGCAAAGCTGCGAGGCTGTGGCAGAGCTACCTCTGAGCATCTCTGGGAGGAACAAGGTGGGTAAAAGAGAAATTCTACAAACCCTCCAGTCCGGAATTCGACATGAGAAAGAAACCTCAAACAGAGTAGCACAGGCCTTCACATCTCCCTGATAATTAACTAGTTAGGTGAGGGCCAGAAAAAGAATGAAGCTACTGGTGACGAGTTCCATCAGTGACATGTACGCTCTTCCTCTCAAAAAATGGCACAATGCCAATCTCAGGGTGACATGGGAGGGGGAAGCTGACAGATTACCCACCTTACAAGTGTTTCTAAATAGCACTACTACTGACATCTGGGACCAGATAATTCTTTGTTGTGGGGGTGTGGAGAGGGGCTGGATGTTTAGCAGCATCCCTGGTCTCTACCAACTAGATACCAGTAGCACCCTCCAACTGTGATAACCAAAAATGTCTCTAGACATTGCCAAATGTCCCCTCCCCTGGGCACCAAAATCACCCTCCACTGAGACTCACTGTCTTAGAGGCGTTGACTGATGGACTGCAAATAGCTCTTGGTCAATTATCACAGAACTATTACAGCTGTTAGGTATTTGTCATGTCTGGCTTGTGTGTGTGTGGTGGGGATGGGGGTGAGGGAGGCAAGTTTGACAGGATTTGGAATGACAGAGGATTTGTTGAAGTCCTGCTGATAGGTTAAGGGCTTGGGCATCAGACTAGCACACCTTGGATTCAAACTCTAGCTCTGCTACTTTTCAGTTGTGTGAATAGGGACAAATTTCTTCAATGTAAAATGAGGATAAAAATACTGATCCCATAAGTGGTTGTAAAGATTAAATGGAAAAATAAAGTGTTTAGCACAAAGTGCTAAAACAGAAATGAAACTATTATTATCAATAGCATGTGTCTCAGTTCAACTTGGGGACCACTATACACCCCGATGGTGAAAAATGAGTAAAGCTGCTGAAGTCTGGATCCCTTTCTTGTATGACAGCTACCTGAAAAAAACAGATCAATTCTCCAAAGCACTCCCAGGTGAAGAAAACAATTCTGAAGCCCATCTGTTAGCCGGGGGTTAAGCTGTGGTTAAAATGGACTAGTTGGTTTTCTGTCTCCTCACCTGGTGCTGCTCAGAAAGCCCAACTGTAAACCCCAGGCTGCCGTGTACCTTGGGAGGGGATGGTGTCCTCAGAGCAGCACGGGGTGGTCGTCTGGGTGCTGTAGCCGCTGGAGCACTGAAGCGAGTCCCGGCTGCTCCTCTGCGTGTCAAGCTGGAGGCCTCGTGACAGGGCCAGGGCCAGCTCCTCACAAGCCTCCATCTCCTCACCAGGCTGCAGGGCACAAGAATGAGAGACAGACAAAGCACCAGGGCCATGAAAACCCTGTGTGATGTCCCCAGAGCCCTTCCACACACTGCTTTGGCTGGGGCCTCAATATCACTCTTGTTTTGCTCCCGTGAGCACCACCTGTCTAGGGCCAGGGTCCTACCCAGGCTCTAGAAAGTTCTACTTGTCTGATTCCCACACAAGCCTTTTCCCCAGGGGACCTATACATGCTATAGAAGAGGGAGTGGGGGAATGGTGCCCAGGTCCCTCCATCTGCAAGGCTGCCTTGGCCCCCAGGTGCTGGCTAGCATTGGGCCCCCAGGCGGGCCTAAGTGTACCCAACTAGATATAGAGAACAAGCACGTCACCCTGGTGGCAGCTGACACGGTCATGCTTCGCGGTCTCTGGGCCTCCTCAGCAACTGTTGGTGGGCCACCCGTGGCAGTGGGTCCTCCCGCACTGGGGTCAGGCTCGCGCTTCTCTTTGCGGCGCTGGAGGGTGTTCACCAGAGGTTGGTCATAGGGTCCTGGCTTAGCCCAGTCCTAAGTAGAACAAGTGTGGTCAGGAGGCAGAGCCTCTGCCTCCATGTGGAGGGCTGCAGCGACCCTCTGGACAGCTGTCCATGGAAGGCAGCTGGTCCCCGTAGCGGGAAGCCCTGGCTGGGACAAGCCAGCAGGCCCTCTGCATGCCCTCACCCAGCTCTAAAAGGCAGGGAGTGGAAAACCCACGGGGGTCCCCTGGGGTACCTCTGTCTTCCTTACATCTGCCCAAAGATGAAAAACCCTCAACAAGGTAGGCAGCAGGAGACTCTTAGTTAACAGCCACCTAAGAGGTGACCAACATATGCTAAGGCCCCAGCCAGTGGGAGTGAGTCCGCAGGGACCAGGCCTGCCCTTCTCTGTACAAAGGAACCATCTCTATTCCAGCAACAAAAATGACTTCACGTTAGTGGAGTGGCCTCCAGGGGGCACTTAAACAACATCAGCCACTCTCCCTATGGCCAAATCCTCCACTTCTGGGAAAGTGTGCCTCAAAGGGCACTCCAGGACCCATCCCCGGATAGGAAGGAAGGGCTCCCAGGGCCAAGAGAAAGCTTTTGAGGAGTCTGAGGGGTCTACGTAAGCTGTGAGGGCTAAAGCCCGAACCTACTCAAAATCTGGCAGCCTGGGGCCTACTTTTCAAATTAGGGTCCTCCTTTCAAAAACAAGTGAAAGATCCTCCTGGAGCATCAATTGAACTTGCTAGGAGATCATTTTAAAACTTTGCTTTTATATTAAAGCAAACATGTTTTAATATAAAACAATCAATATGGCCCGGTAATTATAGCCCAGTAAGGGACTCATTAGGGGAAATGTTTGGGGAACACAGGTCAGGAGAACAGTCCCTCCTGGCCCCGTAGAGGGTCTCTGCTAATACTGACATGCTCAGGTGGCCCCCAGGAGGGGGTGAACCCAGCAGATTCCATCTTGATGCAGAACTGGGGCCTTCACTTTAGAACTGACACTCCTTGCAATGCACATCCGGTTTACTGTCCATGAGGGGTTAGTTCCCTAAAGGAAGATCCCCTGTTTCAGCTCCACAAATTGTGATCTTAAAGCGACCAGCTGCTTTTTGGTTTCCCCCAGTTGGAATTTACTGAGGGAGAGGCGTTATGGGGAAGAAGGCAGAGTGTGAAAGGAAGGGGGTGAGGGGGAGAATCAGGGTGAGGATGGTGGGACAGAGAGGGGTGAGCACAGAGGCAATGAAAGGAGGGGAGGCGGGGGGAGAGACACAAACCTTCCAGCTAGGGATCTGAGATGACGGGAACATGCCGGGCCCAATGGTGTAATAATGAGCGTAGTCTGGAAGGTGGACAGAGGTGACCCGAGGGAGCAGGCGGGAGGCAGGCAGGCAGTGAGGGAAAAGGCCTGCACCCACGGGCCCCACATGGGACTCACTTGATAAACTATAGTGAGAAAACCCGTTAGACAACTGGAAACAAAACAAACAAAAAAGGGGGGAAAAGGAAAAAAAAATTAATATAACAGGATGAGTGCGGAGATACAAGATGGCATCGACATTTGAGGGTGGGGGAAAACCTGAATATTCATAAATATAAATAAATCAAACAGCAGAGCTCTACTGCTCGTGGATGGTCCACGATGCAAGAGAAAAAGAGCAGGGTGCAAGAAATCCACATTTAAGTGACACCAAGCAGGTATTCAGTCAAGGAAATATTTCAGCTACATTTTAGAATAGTTTGGAAATTGATCGGTGTCCTTAATTTGTGGTGTTCTCAATGGTTTTTGATTATTTATCTAATGAAGCATAATTCATGGTGATAGTGATTTGCTCATCTCATTTGCAAATTTAAAAATTCCAAAGCATCTTCAATTGAATCTGTTCATTCTAGGTTTCCAAAATCATCACACTGTTCAGGAGCAGACTCCAAATCAAGGCGGGTACAGGGTGGGTGCAAACTAAAAGGCAGAAAAGAGCACAGCCTTTGGCACAGTGAAATGTCCCGTGCAATGGTCTGTGGGGTACATGGGAAGGGAATGGGGGGGACAGATGAGCACACGACACCAGCTCTGGGAAGAAGCCTTCACACCTCCACACTCCCCATAGCCCTTCCTCTCCCTCAGGATGGCTGCTCCGTCATTGTTCTGCAGCAAGGTGCCCATTCAAGAAAAAACCCTCAGCCTCGTCCCACCCTCTGTCCCCAAGAAGGCCCCGCCCTCGGTGTAGATTCTGAGTTTCCAGGTTCCTGCAGCTGGGATGGCTGTGTTGGCAGCAGGCAGGGGAGGGGCGGGGAGAGCGGGTATGCTGTGGCGGTCACCTTCTCGGTGGACGCCCAGGCGCCCATGGTGGAGCCTGAGCTGACAGAGGTGGGGGAGCTGCACTCGCTCACTGACTGGCAGGTTTCGGAGGCTTCAGAGGAGGCCGAGCTGGACGAGTTCTGCAGCAGGGGTGGGACCACACAGGGGACCGACAGAAACCGAACCACACGCCGCCAAATGATAATAATAAAGCAAAATCAAAGGATGGGGTGGGAGTGGGGAAGAGCACGCACAGAGAGACAGACATATACAGAGAAGAGGGAAGAATGAGAGAAGCAGAGGGTTAGGCTTATTTTTTCCCCAAAGTCATACCCACGCAGAGGCTTAAGCCCTTGAAAATAAGCGTGAGGCCCAGCCAGCTCCCAACCTGCTAGACTGGGAGGTCCCCAGGGACCCAGATTTCTGTGTGTCCTTTGCATGGCTGTGTCACTGGCACCACAGTGTCTGGCTGAGGCACTGGAACTCCAGCAAAACAGTGTTCTCTCAGGCATTTCTTCATGTGCCACAAGCCCAGGTCCCCAGGGAGATCCTGTGTGTCACATCTCTTCTATGCACAGGCACTATTTACTGCATGAGGGCTTACTCAGCCTTGGGCATTTGTCACATGTTAGCCTACATGGCTCTAATTCCTGGACTCTCCCTTTGTCAAATGTAGCCTTTGGGTCCACGAGGAGTGGTTTCCAGCTGTGAAGATTCATTTCCACAGGACATGTTTTTGGGTTTCTCTGCCTGGAGAGTGATTTGGGGGTTTGAGGCAGTGAAGCCCTGTGGCAGTGCAGTGTTTTGGTGGCCACTGTCAGGAGGGATGAATCATCTGGAGAGTCTGATTTGGGAAAACCTCTCTTCATGCTGATCTGTATTAAACCCCCGGTTCCTGCAGGTCTCCTAACGTCGGCCAGAACACATGCTCCCAGCTTGGCTTCCTGACGTCTGGCTAAGGTACGGACTGCACCTGTTAGTTCACCATTACACCCGAGTTTCTAGTCCTGAACCTGGCATGTGGCAGGTGCTGACAAAATACTGAATGGACGAGTGACAGTGAACATCTCTTTCAGTCCCCTAAACATTGTATGGTGTCCACCCAGGTACTTGCATTAAGTTTTTTTTCCACTGATAACTGCAATCTCTGGCTCAATTTGTTTAAATTAAGTACAATTCTTCTGTGCTGTGATTTCCCCAAAACGGTTCACTGTCAAGGAGGCCAGATTCATGTTCCTGTCCCTTTCACCCACAAAAGAAAGAAAGGTTCCTGCAAAGGGGCAGAAGTTTGGCTTTCCTGTCCTACAAGGCAAGGAACCAAGATGACACTCAACAACACATGGGGCTTGTGGAGCCAAAGCAAGGAGAAGCTACTCGGTGGACACATGTCCTGGCTGTACCCTGAGCTCAGTGTCAGGGTGGCAGCCCTGGATCCCCAGTTTGATGGTTTGGATTTAAGCCACATTTCTGCCACTTCCCGGTTGAGGAACCGTGGACTTAAAGCTCTCTAACCTCAACTTTTTTCTTCTTTAGAATGGGATCAATAGTATCTAACAGATGAAGATCAGATGAGATTTTGTGTGTGTGTGTGTGTGTGGTGCATAATCAACCATAAATAAAAGTCAATTATCAACTGTAATTTACCAGGACTGCTAATTTTGATTCCTCTAACTCAAGATGTTTAGGTTGAAGAAAGAACCAGTAACCCACCCGGGACTCCAGGTTCAGATTTCTTTTGACTTCTGCTCACTGTGTCTAATGCACCTCTCTGACCTCACTGGAGACGTGACCCCATCTTGGGCAAAGGTGGGTTAAGGCATGATTTGAAAGGATAGAGCGGAGGAAAATGGGAGAATTCTGAACAAATTCTGTCACTTCGCCTTCATTTAGAGATGTGTGACTGATTGGAGAAATGAGGGGATCTTGCCCTCATAGGCATGTGCTGAGGTGATTTGTACAATTTCCTCAAATTTCCCCTCTACCTTATAATTATAAGCAGCCGTAATGACTTTTTTAAAAAACTAGACTTCTCTATTAAAATGTGCAGACCCTTGAGCGAGCTTATTAAATCTACCCTAGGTTTGCTAGCCAAGCGTATCTTGGCACGGGCTTCCAGATTTAAGTAAATCCCAACACGCCACCTTCTGCTTCCCTCAACATTTTTGGAAGCAGAAACCCTCTGCTTCAGCTGGATCCACACACAGTCTCTGCCGGGAAGCCCTCTTTTTCAGAAAGGGATGTCAGTGCACAATACGATGTTAATTTGTCAGTCAATTAAAAACAAACAGAATTATGCTGCACATTAGAACAGCCTTTAAGGAATTGCAAATTCATGCTCTCCTTGGACAATGCTCACTCTCTGCTCGCAAGCGACGCAGGTATGGTTTAGTGAAGCACATGGCAGGGGGCGGAGGTGACACCTCAGAGACCAGGCTGGAGCTCTCCAGCTGGGGCAAGCACACTGGACTAGAGCTGTGGCTCTTGACTCCAAGCATTTCTGTTTGAAATCGAGTCTCTTCCCAAGGAAGAGAGAGAGAGAGAGGCCACAGTCCCCCAGGATGGCTGAAAAATACTAAAGGGAATGCTGAGCTGTGAGGCTCTGGGCTCGCCAGTGTCAGGTGAGAAATGTAGCGCGATGGCTTAGGTCCCCAGCAGATGGCGCTGTGGGGCCCCCCGGCTTTGTGTAGGTTGTGCTGCTGTGTGCTAAGGCAGAAGCCTGCTCGCTCAACGCACGCACTGCACGTGAAGTGTTCTGATGCCCTGCCCAGCTCCTGCTGGGACTGCTGAGCTGAGCTGGGCCTAGTACCATCTAACCCATGGTCGAAGATTCCAAACCTCCCCTTCTCTCAGAATCAAAACAGCACAGAATTATCTGTAGAGGCTCTGAGGATTCATTTTCCTTCTCCACACAAGTTGATAAAGGGAACCTGAGAGTGCCAAGGTGTCCAAAGTGCTATTCAACAATGGGCTCTCAGGCACTCGAGGAGAACTGAGATGGGGGTGGAGGTGTCCTCACTGAGCCAATGCCAATTAATTATAGCTTCATACTCAGCTGGGCACCTACAGGGAAACCAGAGAGTGGACAAACCTCTTTCGGTCTGCCTACTTACGTGTGAGAACTCCCCATATCAATGTGGTCACTCATCCATTCCCACCCTAGAGACAGGCTTCGAACCCAACTTATAGAACATCTCCCTTTGGAAAACAACACATCCAAACATGAGACATTAAACCAGAGGCTTCTCAAGCCAGCAGGCAGGGGTCTGTTCAAGCCTAGGTCCTTCTTTTGTCCGGCCATCAATGGTGGTCAGGGCACTAGGTTTGACAGCTGCTCCTGGAGCCACGGGCGCCGTACCTGGTTGAGGGCCTCTGGTGGCATGGGGGATGGTGACTTGGACTGGAAGGCGTCCTGGGATATGAATCCTGAGTCATGGGAGGACACGCTGGACAGCCTCACGGGCGCCTGCTGGGCCAGGTTGGAGCTGCGGTAGCGGTAATGCGAGCTGGGGGAATGTGAGTGGGAGCCGCTGGACCGGGAGTCGCTGCTGTTGACACTGTTCAGGCTGCTGTGGGGGACAAGCAGAGGGGTGGCAGGCACGGGAGGTAAGGAAAGGGGGGTCGTACGAGGAAGGAGGGGCACAGACAAGGGCAGAGAAGGGAGGAGTGCAATGTAATATCATCAGCCCTCTGCCCCAGAGCAGTGGCACAGACCATAAGACATGTTTTCGAAACACCAAATCACTAAGCTGGTAAGCAAAAAGTTTTTTCAGGTGATCTGGGGGGAAAAATACAGTTGCCGGGACTCAGGTCTCTGATGGTGCAATGTGGCACCCCTAGGATGGGGTCTGCGACTCTAAAAAGTCAAGTGCTGCCCAACTCTGCTTTGTTATCTACCACCAAGGCTGGGGACCAGATGTCAGCGGCACAAAGAGAGACGTGGCTGATCTATCTGCTCATCTGCTCGCAGAAACCATGACCCTGGAGCAAAACCCACTAAGGCTTCAGTATGACCTGGTTGGAATGTCCTTAGATGGACTACCTGGGTCCCAGTGACCAAGGTCAACTCAGCCAACCACTGCTGATGGACAAAGTGATTCATCCCAGGTGAGCCTGGTCATGACAACCATCAAGAGCATCTGCAAAGCAACTCAGGATGTCTATGTGCATGTGTTTGACTTTTCATGAACAAGTTAATGCTTATTAATGGCTTTACTCTGATCCCAGGAGTTTCTCTGTTAAAATATCCATGGGCCTGGGCTAACAGCACACCTGGCAAGAGGCAGGCGCCTTTCAACCACTAAAGGCAATCAATGCTAAGCTGTTTACTTCTGAGATGGAACAATAAACAGGATGCTGAGAAATGACACACAGCCTCTGGGTGCTCTGCTGGCATTCCATTTCCAGTCGTAAGAAATATGCTCTACGCTCGGTATAATAACTTAGACGATAAAAAAACAGAAAAGTGAACAGAGTCCCATGGTTCAAACAAACACAGCTGACATACAAAGGTCAGGTGTGTAAGTACCTAAAGAGATGAAATAAACAACCCAGCCTGGGATTAGGAAGTCTGTGGTTTCTGCTCCCAACCCTGTGAGAGATTTTGTTTTGCAAACTCCTTGCAGCTAATAAGGTACTTAAGGACTCAGTGACTGTTCTACACTAGAATTGCTTGGTGCAAATGTTCAGACACACCTGGGGGAGTGTGCTGGAGGAAACTGCTGCCCTATGGGGATAAATATGATCTTTGCCTTTTCCCACAACCATCCAGAAGAGGGCATCTGGGGACTGACAATAAAGCTCACAGCAACTCCTCTCCAGCAAGCTCAGAGCTGCTGAGGTCAGTGTGACACGATTTTCTACTCAAAACTAAGACCATGGGGAAGAAAAGATACCCATGCAGCAGTTTTATTTCACACTAATGAGATACAATTTTCTTGGCTATGAAAAAAAAAAAAAAAAGATTTGTCTCACAGACACATGTACAGAGCCCATGAAAGATGACAGGAAACCAACATCTTCAGAGGCAGAACGCTGGCATGCAGCCTCACAGGTCTGAACTTCCAGCGGAGGGTATATGGTACAAGCTCGAGTGCGACATGAAACACACAACAGTGTGTCCAGACGTTACACAGACTTAGCAGATCATCCTCCTCTTTACTGTCAATGCTAATTCACAGGAAGGAGACATTCATTGGGCTTTGAAAAGTCAAATAAAAAGATGAGCAGGTCTAGCATACCAAGAAAGATAAGAGATGCGTGATGACGTTTCCACCTTTCAAGATGAGGAGAATAAACGTTCCTAGTCAACAAGCCAAGAACGGCCCTCTAACAGAAAACTGCTGGACAACACTGGCAGACGGCAGAACTATTCCAAAGGATTCTGACTGTTTCAGTAGGTAACGGTACTAGTTAACAGAGCAGCGGTGGGGGTGGTACTAGCAGTGGTAGGAGCAGTAGTGGCTGACAGAGCAAGAATTCCATTTACTTTATAAAACAAAAATTGGGGGTGGGGTAGGAGGACAAGGGTTCACGCCACTGTTACTTCCTTCATTTGCTCTGGCTACGGCAAGATCAGCCTGTATAAGAATCAACCTGGGTTCACCCTTTTTTAGTCCTTGTGACTTTCATTCTGCTAAATAGGAAAATCAAATGCGATCTCATAAAATGGGAAAATCCCTTCAACAAGCAACTGAGAATAAGCTAGGTCCACTAGTCTAACAGCTAATGGGGTTTTCTTTCTGACCCCAAATTAATCCAGAGACTAAAGACTGAGATGAAAATCATTACCATTTTTTCAGCTGATCATCTCCCCATTTCCTGTTTAAAACGAGCCATTTTAAGAGATAAAGCCCAGGTCTGTTGCTCACATATACTTGTCCTGAAAGCGAGAAGAGACCCAGCTTCACTTACCTGCAGACACTTGACTTTCTGGACATGGTGGTGCTGGGGGAAGAGGGTGGAGTCTGATACGACCAACTGTAATCAGAGCCTTTCAAGTCCAAAATCACCTAAGGGGACAGAGCCGCTGGGTAAGTGAGGTGCTGAGAAGGGAAACATTACCTGTCAAATCTTAATACCCACTGTGACATCAAAATGCTGCCATCATGAGGGGTGAGAATTAAAGAAAAAAACGTTAAATTTTTTTTTTTTTTAATTAAAGAACTATACTACCAATCCCTCAACGTTACAATTCTTTTTCTGAGACAAGCAAATCTGTACTTAATGGGGGGTGGGGAGGGAAAAGGAAAGCTGAGAAATATCAGGAGAGAGAGAGAATGAATGAGTGACAGATCAACAATTTATAAGCTTATTTATACCAAGGTTAGAATTTACAGGATTTTCATCTTATAAAGGCAATAATAGTTTCTGGATTTGTAAACCTTGTACTTTAACTACCTGATCTTCAGTGGTCACCAATGCCCCATTTGAACAGGACTAGAAATTTTAAAACCTGACAGAATCAACAGCAAGCTGATTCTTTTGCAATTCTTTCTATGTCTCTTCTCCCTTTCTTGACAAAGAGCCACTTGAGTGTAAGGTCCACCTTTCATTCATGTAAGAGGTGCTCAATAAATGTCTATTTATTGAGTGAATGCATGCATGTGGTCTAATAAATGCAATGTCATAGAATAGAAAACACAAGCTCTCAAATTTGTTCTTCTGAGCTGACTCTCAGGAGCAGATGAGAATTGTAGGCAAAGGGCAAAAGCCAGAATATGATTCATCAGCTCTTCCCACAAATGTGTCTCTTCCCACTTGATAAAGTGCTAATATCACAAGAACCAAATGAGTAAAGCATAAAACATGTCATCTTTCATAAGATGGGAGAGATCCCCATGCAGTACTTAATTAGAATGGGAGAAATGAAGAATGGTTGACAATGACAATCAAAACACACTACTGTCGTGTTCCTACGAGAGTTTATTTTTAGGGGGTAGATGAAGATAATGAACCTGGTGATGTGACTTTGTCTCTCAGTGCCTCAGCGTCCTCCTCTATAAAATGGGCACAATAGTGATGATGAATGAGGAAGTCTGCGTAAAGAGCGTGGAACAGCACCTGGCACACAACAGTGCTATATAATGGCTAGCTATGGTGATTATTGTATGTTACAATGCAGAGGACACCGTGAAATATGGATATGCTTTAAGATGTGACAAATACTGCAAACACCACTCAGGGCCTTGAACTTTCATCTGTTGGTTTGTTTCCCATGACTCCTACCTGCTCACTTGAGGAGGGAAGTTTGTGAGGGTCCATGGTCAGGCTTTTTAGATCTTCTGATATGGTCTGAAGGTGGGTTATTTCCCCTAGCATTGAGATTTCTTCTTCCTGAAGGACAGTAATTCATAACATGTCATTTTCATGAGTGATTAACTTCATCATCTTGGTTTAATTGTTTTTATTAAGGTCACTGTATAACCCTTTCACATTTTCAGAAAAGGAATCATGGGACTGGTAAATCTTTGCTGAAGGCACTACATGCCCTTTTTTGGGGGAAAGGGAAGGGGAAAAAAAAAATCTGACATAATCATGGAGTGACCCAAGTGCTTGGGGACAGTGGTGGCCTTCCTCATAGTGCCTGCTCAGACTTCCCAACTGTGTATTCTCATGGGACGCTGCAACACAGCCCCCACCACACACTGAGGACTCCCTATGAAGTCATTTGACTTCATTGGTGACGCCATTTGGAGATATTTTGTTTCAGACCTTTGTGACAGTATGTGTGTGTTCAGTAGAGGTTAACTGTCCCCCTTCTTTCCTGTCTTTTTCTACCAACTTAGTTAATTAATGGACTATGGAAGAAACATTCCATTCACTTTACCAAAGTGCCACACTGGAACTGGGGACCGAGGCAAGATCCATGGAAAGTTCCAGAAGTCTCGGGGGAACAACTCATATTGGGACTTTTTGCTAGGGCTGAGAGAAGTGAGCTGGTGCCTTCGTACTGGCTTCAAGAACGCCTTACAGCAGAAGTTCTCAGTTATGGTGTGAAAATGATTTGTTTAAAAATTAAGTCTGAATAGATCCATTGAGGCCCTTCCTGTCTCAATCTCAGGGTCACTCCTTGGTACTCAGATTGGCCAGTGGGTCTCAAAATTACCTAAAGGGCTTGTGTAAAACACAGATGAGTGGGTCCCCATCCCCAGAGTGTTGGGTTCAGGGGGCTGGGCCTCAGGATTTGCATTTCTAACCAGTTCTGAGGTGATGCTGCTGACCTAAGAACCCACTGCTGACAGCAGGTGAAACAACTAGTGCTCAGAACTGTGAGCAAGGCGTCGACCACGTGGACGCCAGCACCTTGCAGTGAATCCCTTGTCTATAGACGTGAGTCCCCATCATGATTCCCGACATGCAGCAGATTCCTAATGACTCAGTGGTGGATGGATAAATAAAGAAGGAAAGCTTCCTTCATACTGGCAGTTTAAGCCTTCTGGAACTTTCCACTAACTTACAATCACTGGCCGCAGCATAGAGATGAAGGTGCAGAATCGGCCACGTTCTTCAATCAAAGCTTTCCGGACTGCCTGCTTTTCTGTTTCCTCCAACAAGAGATATTTATCGTTGACATCTTGGAGAGCGCTGTCCAACTGAGGCTGGATATCACCTCTCCCTGCAAACAAAACAAAGCCCCAAGCGCGGCTTGCTGAAACACCAGCTTCTGGAACAAATGCCCCTTCTCCCTGGGGTCCTTGCTGAAGTCTAGACCACAAATTTTCTAGGACTTAAAAAAAAAAATTGTTTATACGCAAAAAGGATTTAAGGTGGCTGTCTTATTTTTAGGACCAGCCATTTCCAGCTTCCAACACCTGAAGGGCACATTTATTCCAGTTTATTCATGAAAAGGAAAATTTCCTGAGTGACTCTTCGTGACTTGCCTTCTTGACTTGCATAACCCCACAGAGCCTTCTGCCAACAAAACCCTGGGACACACAGCCAGACAGGATTCCTTCCTTTTAGAACATTCTGAGAAGGCTAAGGGACGGATGAATAAGGTATGGGCCCATGGACATTTCCAAAAATGGGTACCAGCTGGCTTTGTTGGGTCAACCTCAATCAAAGAGCCTCTGTTCGGGCAGAAGTCTCTGTCCCTGAAGATAAAGGTGGCAAAAGCATCAGCTCTCCTGGCTCTGGGGACTCATGGAGCTCCCTGGCAGTTAGTTTAACTCTCTAGTGGAGAGTCCTGAATGCCCTTCCTGTAAAACAAGGCTGGTCACAACAATTCCTACAGCCAGGTCTCTGCTGGCAAAAAACCAAAAGTGGGTCTGTGTGGAGCCTGGCCCATATTCGTTAATCACCTCGCTACATCCACAGACGCCAGTTACGTGGAGGCGACCATTTCTAGAGTTTAAGACAGGGTGTTAATCTTTTAAACAACTCTAGAACATGGTCAGCAAACCATCTTTGTAAATAAAGTTCTATTAGAACACAGTCACGTCCACTCGTTTACACATTGTCCTTACCAACTCGCAACAACGGCAGAGGGGTATAGTTCTGACACAGATGCTGTGGCCCTGAGACCAAGAATATCTGGCCCTTTGCAGAAGTTTGCTGCACTAGAAGATAAATGTAGGCGAACAGGCACTGTAACCGAGGGAACAGGTACTGCAAATCTCATCTGTAGGTGGGCACGGCAGGGTGACCACATGAGAGACCAGCTCTCGAGTTTCCACACTGGGCTCCCCATGCAGGAGCTTCACCTATTACCCAAACCAGAGAAACAATCTCTAAACCCCTGCAGGGCAGGGTTTTTTCCAGCACAGCACTCAGTACGATGTCATTTGTGTATACAGCAAGTGCTTAATAAATGTCTTTAATATTTTTAAACACAGAATGTTAGCACTGGAAGGGGCCTTAGGGGTTATCCAAGCCAACTTGCTCATGTTTCAGTGGATGTCAAGGCCTAGAGAAGTCAAGGACTCACCCAAGGTCACAAAAGGAAAGGTCCAGAGCCAGAATAGTGCCCACGCAGCCCAATTCCCTCAACACTAAATAAACCCATTTTCCTTTGCCCCACTGCCTCGTAGGAAGGGGCCTGACCGGGTACCATCCCCTCTCTTAAGAATGATGTAAATAACATTAAATGAAATGTACACTTGGCTTGAAGAAAAAGGTCAGGGAAAATTGCCTTGGATGTAGGGATATATTCCACATTTTTTTTCATAAGCAGATGAGAAATTTTAATTTGGAGCAAGAGGAAGTCAGGCTTAAAGAACATCCCAATAGAAGAGATACAGTAGTTAGATTTTAGTAAGGGAGAGTCACTTCTTAGACAGGAAAAAAGTTCTAAGTTAGCACATAATGGAAAAATTATACCCAAAAAAGATTACCCTTGAAAATGCCTTAGATGGCTAGTAAATACAGTATGCACAACTTTGTCTATACAACTATCACTGGTCAAGGGAGTACACACGTATGATGTGTACAATACATAGTATTTAAGTCCACAGGGGGATTGTAGCCAACAAGCACATGAAAGACATTTGCTGCTTGAGAAGTTTCAGCATATGTATTTGCAAGGTGACCTCTCACCCACTCTCCCATTTGGTCACCATCTACCTGACTTGCTCTTTCTATGCAACCTGCAAAATAGCTTGGCCAAAGGTGGGCCTTGCTAGGTGAAGCTACGTGGCTAAGGACTGGCTTTGAGGCCTCCTTCAAGTCTCTCAGTATCTTCTGTGATGTTCTAATAACAGAACACAGAGGGCTGAGGACCAATGCAGAATGTTCTGAACGTCAGTGGAGGGGGGCGGGGAGAAAAGTTAGGGAGACAGCAGACTGAAATGCATACTGCTTGACCAACCCTGCTTGGACGCACTTTAATTATGGCAGCAATTTTTTAAATAACAGCCTATGATTATAAGAAATTGGAAAAATGTATATCTTTGCTTCCTTTCACAAGTGATAAGGTATACGTCTATCTGTAATTAATAACACTGACATTAAAAATGTAACTACAGGGCCGGCCCGGTGGCGCACTGCTACAGTGCGCCGCTTGAGAGCGCGGTGGCGCTCCCGCCGAGGGTTCGGATCCCACATACAGACCAGTTCCCGCTCACTGGCTGAGCGAGGGGCGGGCGCAACACCAAGGGTTGCGATCTGTTGCCGGTCACGAAAAAAGACAAAAAGGAAAAAAAAAAAAATGTAACTACAGGGCCGAGCCCGTGGCGCACTCAGGAGAGTGCGGCGCTGGGAGCGCAGCAGCGCTCCCACCACAGGTTCGGATCCTATATAGGGATGGCTGGTGCGCTCACTGGCTGGGCACGGTGCAGCCGGTCACAAAAAGGACAAAAAAAAAAAAAATGTAACTACACAGAATAGAAAAAGAGGAAATAGAACCAAGCGTCTAATTTGGTAAATAGAAATTCAAATTATTCTGTGATTGTAGCAAAGTTATTTTAAATATGTATTGTGTTAAAATTAAAGGACTTCCAAACTGCAGTATTCTAAAATAAGTATAATCTATAAAGATCATTATAATTATAGTCATAGTGAGAACATTTCCATTCAGGATATATCATAAGCTAAAAACACAAAGTTTATTTCTTAAATTCATTAACACAACATATAATTACACTTAATAAAAAAAAAAAAAAAAAAACAGGGCCGGCCCGGTGGCGCACTGCTACAGTGCGCCGCTTGGGAAGCATGGCGGCGCTCCCGCTGAGGGTTCGGATCCCACATACAGACCGGTTCCCGCTCACTGGCTGAGCGAGGCGCG